AAAGCATGCTTTTAAAAAAGGTTTCATGAGATGATGGAATCAAAGCTGAACTGTATAACATAAAAAGACACACATGCTGAAAACCCAACCCCAGCAGGGGGGTCTGGGGGGATTCCCTTCTCTTTATAACATATAAAATACGTATTCTGGTAGACTCTGAGAAGAAAATGAATAAATCTATTACTACCCGACATACTTAATAATATTTGATGCCGTATTGTTTGTTTTTTACTTTGTTCTGACAGCTGAACTTGTCTGTGTGAATTGTGGGTAGGGTGGATAGCCCCCATTGTTCTGTGACCTGTCAATCATCAAACCGGGGGTCATATTTCATTATGTGTTCATTTGTATGTGAAGTTGTACCCATGGATGTATAAAGAGTAGTTCTACCGCAAAGTTATTCTCCGTGGGGACTTCCGGCAACAATCTTGATTCTGATTCGCCAGAAGACTTGATAGACTGGTTGGAAGCAGTGTACTTTGCACAATCCAATCTAAAAGTATGTGTTTTAATCGTTTTTGGACAACAATGGAGCTCTATGGGTTAAAGTAAAAAGACTATAAGATGCTTTTTTTGTGAGTATTGTGTGTGAACTGTATGTTGTGTGTGGTCGTGAGTGTTGTTTTATTTGCCGGTGCCAATGACACATTTCCATTTGATGTAAATGTGTGGACAATAGAGTATTGTGAATCTGAATATATCTGTAGTGCAGACATGTATACATGCATGAATGAAGGAATGACATGTTTTTAAAGCTGGAGACTAATCTGTGATTGTGTTTTTATTGTTAAAGGGAGGATTTAACACTCACCTTTATAAATAGCTGCTGCTGCGAGTATTGAGTCTCTGTTTAACATCGACCTCCTGTTCCACGCACAGTTACTCTCACCCATACCTGCAGAATAATTACATAAACATTGCAAAACATGTAGAATAAAAGTTGCCAGATCTGGTTTAGACGACTGAAAAACAGAGATGTAGGAAATGTAATTGACAGATTGGAATAAAGTGCTATTGAAACAACTATAATTCCACAAATGACAACGTCAACGATATACAAACATTGAAAGCTCCTCAAAAGTAGAAGGTTTAAAGAGCTCTTAAATACTACTTAAAGAGCTTAAATTCAGCCCCACATAAGCAAACTAAAATGAAATAAGCGTGAAACTTGACACTAAAAGGTTTGACACATTAACAGCGTTGATATCATCCTCGTTTTCACAGAGTTTCACACCTTAAAGTTTCACACTGTATGTTTTTGATGAACTAATTGAGTCGCACATTAACACAGAGGAGGTCATACCTTGTAGGTCGGTCATGACTTCAATGATTCCTGGATAATGAACCTGAACTTCATCTGTGTCCTGAAACAGAACGACAGAAAAGTGAAGAATTCGTTTTTAATGTATGACTTTATACATATAAAATAAAAAAGAATGCCATTTATTTTCATTTTCATTTTATATTGTGTGTGTGTGCGTGTGTGTGTGTGTGTGTGTGTGTGTGTGTGTCTGAGTGAGTATGAGTGTGTTTTTGTGTATAAGTGTGTGTGGGTGTGTGTGTGTGTGTTAGTGTGTGAGTGAGTGAGTGAGTGAGTGAGTGAGTGTGTGTGTGTGTGTGAGTGTGTGTCTCACCACAGTGAGCATGGTGAATCCGGCCTGACCCAGCAGGTTCCCCAGGTCAGTGACGGCGGTGTAGGGGGAGACGTGGGGGGAGAACCCTCCCTCCCTCTCCGTCTCCCCCAGCTGGAGGGAGCAGCGCAGCTCGTACAGCGTCTCCCCCCCCACCATCGCCCCGATGAACACCCCGTCCGGCTTCAGCACCTGGTGGATCTGAGAGGAGGAGGAAGAGGAGGAGAGGAGGAAGAGGAGGAAACACCTACTGTTAATACAAACTGCTTATTTCTCTATAAACTCACCAATTGACCCGGGACTTACCACTGTTATATGCCAAGTGATATAGAAGAGAAGGGGTGGGATTACATAAGTGTAAACCCCTTTTCGGATGTGTCATTAAGTAGATCATTTGTTTATATATTATTTAGAGTCAGTAATATTTGTGTTTATCAATTTGACACTGCTTAAGTTTGTACAGTATACAGTGATGCAAACACAGGTATGGTGAAAAAAGAGAGAACTATTCGAAGCAGAAATATATATCTGACAAAGGCCTGTGCTATAATGCTTCAATTAACTGGCTATTCTTTATAATATACTCAGATCAATAGGAGACAGAGATGTTAAGTTATAAATCAAGGGTTTTTATTATTATTTACAGCAGGGGTGGGGAACCTTTTTCCTTTCAATTTTTACAACATCCTCCGAGGGTCGTACAAATGATTGAACTCAACCTCTGCTTAAAAATACTAAAATCACAACCCATTCATTTGGCCTTTCTTTCATGCTGTGCAAAGAAAAAGCAACCTCTTAATCCAGATATCTTACCATGACTCACGCATGCATGCACGTGCACGGTTGTGGCATGACCACCAAAACAGAAAGATATGGACACAAGATGTGTGCAAATTTATTTAGTTTCCTATCCATGTGGACATGATTTAAAGAGCCTGTGACACGAGTTTCCCCCATCATCCAAACCCATCAATTTGAGTAAATATTGTCCACTTGAAAACCGTTACTGAACTGATTTTGGATATTTGTACTTTGATAACCATTAATCTGCCCTTCAATGTTGAAAATTTTCTGGATCTTCTCGGGGATTCTTCAAGTC